AAATGGTGTTAATAAAGAAATTTAAATTTTTAGTATTATATAATTCAAAATTAATACATTAATTAATTTTTCGAAATACTTTTACAGTTTAAAGTGATTAAAAATGAAAAATAAGGGTTGGAAATAAATAAGCTGATGACAAAATTTCCGAAAAACGAGAAAATTAGTGCAGTAACCGCTTTATTAAAAATTATTAAAACAAACATTTGTCGCCAACTTAAATTGCAACGTTCGCTTAGACATTTTTGGTAAGTTGTTTAATAGTTTTATGCATATTTCTATTGACCTTTGGGCACAATAGTGATAATTGTTCAAATAATATAAGTTAATGATTAGAGTGAATATTAACATAGAATCGCTGTCTTAATGAACCGAAATTATATATAGACAAATATATAACAATTCGATAAACTTTTAATTTCAGTTTTTGAAAAGTTAAAGCTTATATACGTGTTAAAGATAAATAATAAATTTAAAGAGCATATCTATGCCAATAAAAACTATGCATACCGAAAATTTATCTGCCTATTGAAATTCGGCAAGGCTTGCAAATAATACACTTTTTGTGTTGTGGCTCCAATTCTCCTGTTACACTCTTCCAATTTTTTAAGTCATACTTAATTTTTGGTTTTATCTGATACCGCCTTAAGAACTGGAATATCTTGAAAGATATTTTGTATCTTATTTTAGGCCGGATTTAAACCCTTACTTTTTTAAGTCCTATACAAAATTTCGCCATATTACGTAGGGATTTCTGGAAAATGCTCTCCGAAAAAGACTTAGATATTGACTCAGTCGTTATACACTACATTACATTCATATATGGACCATTGATTATAAAACTTTTATACAAAATCTTTGCTATACCTGACATGARCAGCTAGACTGTATTCTCTATATTAGAAAGAAGCCTAAAGACATCACACATATAAATATTTTCTTCACATTTCTCTTGATATATCTACTACCTTTCCACACACAAATATCTAAATAATCGGCTTAGTGTGACAAATTGTGGCGAAAACAATTTCACGCTTTAATATTCTCTTGAAAAAGCAAAAAAATTAAAAAATTACAGACACAAACTTATGTAATTTCATGTAAATAGACTTAGGAAATGCAAATGTAGCAAAAAGTTTATGCTTCAATAAATTTTTTCGCGGTTGTAAAAATGTCCATGGATGTGTGTTCTTATATATACCGTATGGGAATATTGACGTTGTTGTTGTTGTGTCAATAAATTCTCAATTCTATTCATAACCAAATTATTTTATTTTGGCGCCTTGCTTTCGACACTACATCACAGTTTTATTCAGATTTTAAAATTATAGAAATATTATAATTATGTGCGTGATTGTCTCAAGTGC